TTCAAACTGCATCAACCTAAAATGAACAGGCCAAGACAGAAGCACAGAACCTGCACTGACCTTAAAATAAAAGGATGCTGTGATGTGATAGCATAGTAATACTAGCACTCACCCAAGAGACAGTAATTATTTCGGGATTTGCTGATTTAGAAATTAAAGAAAGAGAATAAGGTGGGTTTTGACCCATTTTAGAATCCTTTGATTTGTACATCATGTTTTTCTTTTCATAGATCAACCTGCTACAAACCTGAAATATTCACAGGACCTTCTGCAATACTACACACCTTAAGTTATTCCTCAAGAATACTGAAGTTTTAAATTTAAGTAACTAACTTGACTATCTACAAACTGTAGATAAAAGATAGACAATTGCTAAATTTCTTTCATTAAACAAGTAAAGCTGACACAAGATGTAACTATTACTGTGATTTCCTCTACTGTTTTAAGTGCTCTTCCAGTACAGATTTGGTATGGTGAAACGGCAGTGCAACCTAACACACACATCTGAGGAGGCTTTGAAGTATTTTTGTAGGAAGACATTCTCATCCTATGTCAAAGGGTAGGGCAGGTGCAAATCACAAGAGACTCAAAAGAGCCCAGTATTACCAGAAGAGAAAATGCAAGACAGAGTTAAATTCTCAAAGATCAGAAAGGTGTTAAGCAGTCATAGAGTCTGGAAAGACACACTTTTTTTTTCAGAGCTTTCAGGAGACAACATTTTGTTTAGCCCTCTAAGGATTAGTAAAATCACTTCAGCTTTCTTCTACTCTTCAGATAATGTTACACTTCTCTTTTTGGAAGCTAAGTAGGTGGGTGTTTTTCCCTTCCTTTTGCCTTTCGTCAGTGTTAAGATCAGGAATTTGACTTCCCAGAAGCACCAACAAGGAAAGCTGGAGTAGACACAACATTGCCAACTGCCATTCATTTTCAGCAACCTGTTGTACAGACCTGTTACCCATCCTTGCGCAATATACATTGTTTAATTAATATTTGAAGACTCACTGATGCCACACAGCAATCTAGATACATAGAGAAACTTCCTGCTTTGAAGGTGAATATTTGCTGAGGTAGTCAAGAAGGCTTCTGTTACATGTAATTATTAATTTGAAGTATCAATGTCAGAAATAGGTATTTAATGAAAAATACATTGTTCTTTAGCAATAGAATATTCTAATTATAATTACATAAAAATTAGATATAAATAATAATAATTTGTGGTAACTGAAATCTCTTGTGCAGACTTTTCTTTCCATATAGTTTCTATACCTGCATTTTTTTCTGTATTTCCAGCTCAGTCATATAGGTCTCCCAGGGAATCACCAAACAGGTTTCTGTATCAGCTGAGCTTCAAGGATTTTGAGTCTTTAAATCCAAACAGATTAATGAAGAGCTGGAAATATGGATATTCAATTTTTTTTCACAATCATGAAGTTCCCATTATGCAGTGATGCAAGATTTTGGAGCAATCTGCTAAACAGACAAGTCTGGGACATGGCTGCTTCTCAGGTACTGATCACTTCTCTGTGGTGATGAGTAACAAGACCCAAGGGAATGGCCTAAGGTTGTGTCAGGGGAGGTTTAGGTTGGATATTAGGAAAAGTTTCTTCACCCAGAGGGTGGTTGGGCACTGGAACAGACTCCCCAGGGAAGTGGTCACAGCACCAAGCCTGGCAGAGTTCAAGAAGCATTTAGACAATACACATAGTTCTTGAGGCTGTCCTGTGCAGGGTGAGAAGCTTGACTTGATCCTCATGGGTCCCTTCCAACTCAGGACATTCTTTCTTTCTAATTATTTGAACAATCTCTACATACTTATTCCCTCTGAACCCAAATCAAAACAAATAAGATCACTGATAAAATGCATCTACCATAACTGCCAACTTGCTCCATTTTCTTTTACAGGCATTTTAAATACAGAAAATTAAACAAGGCCTCATCACTACTGAAATAGAATTTAAACTAATATGTAAGCTGAAATCAATTTAAGTTTTAATTATAACTCGTGATACAATTATCTTTTCTCAAGGGGGAAAAAAAGGGCAGTGATACTATTCTTCCACTTTGTCAAAAATCTAGCTGGAGTAGGGACAGCATGAACATCAGAAGAACTGCTCTTGACTTCTTCTATTCTAAGACAACTTTTCTGAGGTTTTCTGTTCCATGGACTCCAATAGCTGCCTGATAGCAACCACAACACTTGAAAATGAAAGAAAGATCAGAAATCACATCCCTAAAAGCTCCTAACTTGTGCCTGAACTTTTCTTGAACACATTAGACTAACCAAGGTTGAGACAGAAGTCATTTATTTATAATAAACACTTGCACACTAAAAACCAGAAAACCTCAACTCCCTTAACTAATGGTTTCTAAAAATGCTTATTCAAACTGACACATGCATGACAAGTTTTGGCTGAGTACGATTTAAGGAGGAGGAGTTATACCACCCAGAAAAATGGTGTTTATGACAGAAATGACAAAGAATCATTCATCATGGGGTTTTTCTATGTGGAGCAGTAATAAAGTCTAAATGAAACTGCACTTCATTAGTAATTTATTTCACAGATCACTATATATACACAAATAGCATAACTCTATCAGATTTTTATAGTGCCATTTATTACAGTACTTCACATACTATATCCACATGGCAACATAGAAATGCAGCTTTCTCTGGGGAAGACAACAGCAGCCAACTGCAGAGCAGCACACAGGGAGGAAACACTTCTGAGCCACAAGAGCAGAAATAAGAATTTTCAGACTAATCAAGGACATGACAATATGAAACAATAAAACTGAACCCCAAGAGATGTGCAGCTAACTCAAAGAATAGTATCGCACTATTTTTGCTTGCCTGATGCCCCATTTGATTTAGAAAATAGAAATAAAAGAGGAAAACTGAATACCCTTGCATTGTTTAGTCAGAGTGATCAATAGCAGAGACTCCCACCAGAACTCCCTGGCTAAAATTCTCTATCCTTTTATTTGATTTTTGAGCACTACACTGGTATCTCCCACTTGTCACAGAAAGGAAAAGAACATCAGTTCTATTGCTTTCATCAGTCTGTATCTGGGATGCCACACTTCAGGCATAGCTGAGGACATATTCTCAGATACCAAGGAAAGAGGTGCATTTCATTCTCTGCTAAGACTTCTGCAAAGTTCAGGGTTATTCCACTCTCCACTGGAAAAGAATTTTCAAACTTTCACACCCAAAGGCCAAACATTTCCATTAAACTTCCAGATATGACTGGTGACTCCTGCCTTCTAAATGCAGGTGAAAACTTGGTATGCTACACAAACCCACCAAATGCTGTGAGAAGATGAAAGACAGAAGGACACCTGCAAATGTCTCATCACAACATTTGCTCCAATTATGCTGTGTTGGGACTGTGAAATAACATATTAAATGCATTATGTGAATGATTTTTGAAATAAAATGAAAAAAATGCACTGCTTTTAACTAGTGAAGCATGTTTAAATTCAAAAAATATTCTCTTGATTTTCTTGCCAAAAAACTCTGCTGTAAGAGCACTGATAAGGAGGTAAGTGGCTTGTCAGTTGCAGATACTTAATTTTTAAAAATAAATTTTAAAGTACAATCTTCTAAATAAAGATCCCATGCTTGAAATGTAATTTTTGAACACTGGGTCTTTGATGGTTGGAGAGAAAACGTGATTTTACCTAGAACACTTTGTAATATTTTCTGAGGAATTAACTAGAAAAACAACAAAAAATCAAAGCCATTCTAAAAATATTAGCTGGGCACTAAGTTAAAATCTGTTTGGCAGCAGAGAAAACGGTTTTCTTAAAACTTGTCAATATTGACTTTGACTGCATTGTGGGAGCTTGAGAATAAAGACATTTACATTGTTTCTCCTATGGATCTTGTTCTGATGTTCTTTCTCAAACATTCTGTTATTAAATGCAGAATTGTGGTCCACAACATACAGCATCTAATTTGATAACAGGCTGAGTAAATGTACATTAATACAAATTTTTTCCCTTTTTGTGTCACGTTGCACTTCTTTTCCCTGCTTTAGTGGTAGACTAACTACTAACAGTTTAAGAAATAAAACCTGCAATACTGAAATGAAATACTGATTTAAGATGCAGGTTTTAATTACTCATTTAAGTGATTTGCATTCTCAAGTTACTATATTAAAAGAGGGATATTGACCATCTGCAAAAAACAAAATGCCCTATTTGTGTAAGTTAATGAGTCTGAATTAAGTGCATGAGTATTCCCCATTGAAAGTGGTAAGACTGCTTGAATCCCTAAGTGAGGCAAGTAAGTAAATTTATCTATTTTAACTACTAGACATGCTAGAAGGACTTTTTGTTTCTCTCTCTAAGAAACCCTGCAATCTGACCAACAAATGCAGGAAAGACCAGATATTGTAGCAAAGATCACAAAACTGAAATTTTATTTCCCGCCTGTAACTCTCCAAACCATTCTCCTCAACAGATTTGAGCACACAGCCATAAGCTCTGGAGAAGATATTCCTTATAAGAGGTGGGAATAAGTTGATTCAGTGCACTGGAGCTGAGAGAGCTTACATAGGCCTGTGCAAAAGATGAAGAGCAGGAAAACAAACATTGACTAATTGACTAATATTGACCTGGACATTGCTGGCAGAGCACCAAGGAAGATCACAGATGAAAAGAGACTCAAAATAAAGAAAGTCTTGAGACTGAGAAGTTTATCTTCAACACCATAGTTAGAAAAGTTAATTAAGTGATTTGGCAAGTTTGAAAGATTCGCTGCCCAGTTTCCATTCAGAAAATTCAGGGACCTGCAGAGTTTTCAGGAAGTAAAAAAGCAGGAGCTGGTTTTCACAGACAAACTTTACAGTCATTCTACATCTAACACTTTTACTTAAGAAAGTAGGGAGATTTTCTAATTCTTTCCTGGAATGATTCCAAGTCAGTCAAATCAGCCTATGCAAACACACTGTAAAAAAGTTTCATTAAAAATAGAAATATTTTATGATGCTACTTACCTGCCTGTCTACTTCTGGAAGCAAAAGCAGGAGGTATTGTTGAAAATGCTGAGGTAAAGAAGCAAAGGTGTGTTTATTTATTAAAGCCCTCAGGTTAGTGTTCACTAGAATAGATCCCGGTGTTTCTATGTCAATATCCTCAGCTTTGGTCCATTTCAAATGTCCTGGAGTAAATAAACAGAAATAACTTTAAACATAAATAAAGGAAGAGAGTAGTAACAAGTCTTATTTTAAAGTTTTTAGCTTTTACTGTATAATAGAATAAGCTCTTGAGAAATAGTACTCTGAGAAGGGTAACACAGCCTTTTCTAGGCGTCTTAACAGCTTTTATATTTGTATAATAATAAAAAATATTTTATATTTGTCTCTTGAAGATAAAATATTTTTATTTTATAATAAAAAGACAAAATGCATTTGTCTCTTGACCTCTTATCGTCCAATAAACATCACAGCTGACATATTCTTACTTCTAGCTCGAGACCAACTCAACAGCCACAAAAAAAATCCTATCATGTCATCAACAATAATTATATAAGCACCTATTTTCAAGCAAAAAGCTGCTCAATAAGAATGATGTGAACCAATAATTAAGGACAGCTTCTCTTTTGCCATCAGCAGTGCCCTATGGCCTACAGAACTTGTCCCATTGCACCTGCTAAAACTACCTGTGTGAAAAGAGAGAGATCAAAGAGATGAGAATATTTAATATGTTAATGTTTGAAAACATTAACAACAAAAAACAAAAGCATTTTTCAGAATTTTCCTAAGAACTAAGACCTAAAATGATTAAAACACAGAAGGTAGCAGCAGGAATTGTGAGATTAGTAAACAAGGTATGTGAAGAACGATACAAACAAAGGAGTAAAATAAAGACTCAGCAAAGGGAAAGGGAAATAAACATATGGCTCATGCACAGCATTATAGAATAATGTCTTCTTGCTTTACACAGTGGACAGAAAGGCTATCAACTTTAACTCTTGCACAGGAAGAAATAGATCTGTTAAGATACTGGGAAAAGAAAGCTTTCAGCCACCAATAACAAGGAGACACTGAATTAAATCCATAGGGAGGCATTACAATCTCCATCAAAATACTTTAAGAATATGTTAAACAAATACCTGTCAGTAATGACAGATGCATATCTGACTTTGACCTATGACTGATGAACAAATTAGATGACCACTGAAGATCCTGTCTGGTCTGATTTGTTATTATTTAAGGATAATATTTAGAAATTACTTTTTAAAGTTTCTTAAAGAGCTATCTGCTTCAAGGTATCTATGTACTGCTAAAATTCTTTTTTCCCTCTAAGTCTTAACATATCAAAGTCCAGGTGGCTCGAAAAACTCAAAAGCTTCTAACCTCTCCCCGGAAACTTCTTCACATTTCAGCTTGTTGTACTTTCAAATATTTCAAAAATGGTGTAAGAGGGGTCTGAACTATATAAAACACAAACTCCATCAGAATCCCTAAAAAAGTGATTAAAAGATTATTCCACTGCTATGATGAATGATGGCATTTTGGCATTTACATGGGACCTCTCAGTAACAATTAAAACTGAAAAATTAAATATGTTTTAAAAAATGAGAAAATTTGGGCATACTGATTATTAGGAATGTCTCAAATGCTACAAGCTACTTAACAGTAATATTAATAAGAGGAATGCAATTATGCTTTAAATTTCTTAGACGACTTATGGTGGTCTCTTCCCTGAAAATCTGTAACTACAAAATATAAATATGCAAGAAAATGAAGATTTGTAAATTCTAAAAGCTCCACTTCAGCCACAGCCTCCTGTAAACATTCTTGTAATTTTATTTTACTTTTCAGCAGCTGATAGTAACTGAATGAGACAAGAACTACTTTGCACTCAGCACAGGATAACCTTTTCCAACACATATTTCTAACATACTCTATTTCAGTACAGCAAAGACTCCATTACCAGCAAATGAATGCCCTGTTATACAGGACAATTGCATGGAAGAAGTGCCCATTTTCATGAATGCATCACAATAAACTATCCTCACCATCTGTTCCACCCACTAAATATAAATGTAAAAAGAACACAGTCCCTGAGCATAGCACAAGTTGTATGATGTATTGAATTTTAATGCCTGTATGTGTATTCTCTTCTTTAATCAATACAAAATACATATCCCCATCTTCTAAGTGACTCCAAATTAGAGTAACATTTTCCCCAGCTAGCACTTTATATACTGTGGGAAGGCATACACAAAGAGATAATCCAAACTAAAATAAGATACATGACGACAAAATCAGTAACATCTTTTGGTGGCAGATATTCTCAGAGTATGAAAAGCCCAAGACAAAGAGCCAAATCTACATTTTCTGATTTATTTGACCTGCTATCACTTAGAGAGTAGTATGGGGGTTTTATCAGCTTCCAGAAGAAATGTGTGTAGTGCTTCTAGGCCAGTAGCGAACTGTGGATCCACACCACAATTCTACTTTAAAAACCCTCAAAATCTGTTCAGAAAATCAAATTTTCTCTCCTGCACCTTTCCTCTGGCTAATTTAGGTTCTGTATAGCAGGTCCCAAGTTTGAAATCAGATTTAGTGAAGTATTTGGGAGCAGCATGGAAGTATGACACCACTGCATCACTAATCATAACTCTGAGAAGAGTTTATGACAAAACATGTGACAATATTTTCTATGTTGTTTTCCACAGAGAAAGACATTTTGAATCCTTATATAGTTCAGGGGTATCACTGTCCACATCAGAAATAGAAGCTGTAAGACAAGAGAGAAAACTCAGGCTTGCAGCCTTGGAAAGTGAGAGTTTACTCCTCAACACAGAGAATTAACCACAAGTAGATGGGAACACCATGGGTCTACACAAAGATAGAAAAATGAAAACAGAAAAAGGACAGAAATCACACAGTTGGCAGAATCTGTTAACTAAAATGGAAAAAAAATAATTTTATTTAATCAGAGCTCAGAAAGTCTACCAAACAATATGTAGTGGATGTTGGTCAGATCAGCAGAGTTTCAGACAACCAAATAATATCTGGACCTGGATTGTGCACTACACAGGACACTGGACCTGCTCTCAAAGCTGCTCTACAACTGCACTTTTAGCATCCCAAGAAATATTGTGTCATGAGAGAAACATTTCAACAGGTACAAGACACCAGAAACCCTTAAACCATATACAAAGCTTGCTGCACTTCATGTGTGGTGCTCCAAAAGGTCAGTAGATTTATTTTCCAAAATCCACCAAAAAAACCATAATGAATTAATTTGCTATCATGAGCCAACAGTTGATGTCGTAGCTGAAGATGGGGAGGAATATATACTTGAAATTACATATCTCAGTCTTAAATGTAGAGAAAAATTACAGGGAATCATCTAACATTGAATATAACTTTGCAAGCAAAAGCTATTATACTGAAGGAGTATTGTCTATTTTGAATAATGATGTTGGATCAACATAAAGAACTAACTATCCACATGGGACTGATTGGTAATTTGCAGAAAAATCATGTATGAAACCAAAGTACACTTCCATGGGAGGTTGTGATACAATAAGGCTTCTAGGTTACACTGCCAGGAACTGGCAATAGCTCATTTAACAACTCTCCTATGGCATTCAGGAAGTAAAGAGCCTTGAAGACATTTTACAGGATCATTATATATAAAAATAGGACTAGGCTGGATGATTAATAAAGAAAAACAATCTTATCTCCACAAAGATAGATATAAAATAACTTCTAGGATTTGGCCACTACAAAAAGCTTGTGTTATCTTTTCTGACATGGCCACATTGCAAAAAACTTGTCTACACAATTCAGCATTCTGCTGAACGCAAAAAGTACTTTGTAAAGATAAAGAAACAGTTATGTCATTCCTTGACTTCACTTAAGCAGAGACAAGAGTCTTAGTGAACACTATATTTTGTGCTCCATAGGAAACTTTTCAAATTAAATTTTATGCAGAGCAGGAAAATCTGCCTATGACATGGAGATTTAGAATTTACTCTTAGCATCTCTTCAGAGAAAATTCTTTGTTAATTACAGAACGTGATTCATGAACCTCACTAAAAAACCCACGGAAAATAAGATCAGAAACTTTATCTACCGGCTCAAGAGATGTAGTTTCAAAATAGTTACAAACTCAACTGAAGAACTAAATCAACCAAAGAAGAAGAACCAACCAAAACTTTTATGCCAAATCTCTATATGACATGCAATAATGCAAATGAAGAAAAGAGAATATTGAATTCTAATCGGGCAAGCATGTAAGCAAATATGCTACTATCTGAGAATAAATGCACATTAGGCAAGCAAATTCACCATGAAGAAAGAATATCTGTTACACACCGCCCCCATCCCCCAAAAAATCATTACATAACAATCAGAATCCAATTGCTAAATCAACTCTCCCTGCAATTGCTTAGGTCCATCAAACTTTAAAAAGCAACCACTGAGGACGAAAAAAAACTGACCATGGATTTTCCAGGTAGACAGAAAGATGTCTTCTTGAGAAAGGATCAGCTGCTGAGTTTGAAAAAGGGACAGGTAAACAGAAAAATAAAACTTTCCAAGAGAACGCAGAGTTTAGAAAAAAAAAAATTACAAGATATTTATTTCACTCCTACTCACCTAAACCCGATTTTTTTAACCTCTTTAAGTGCTGGCTTGTTTGCTTTCCAGTTGGAGACTTTTGCCCATGTTTCATCTCTTTATCAGAACCATCTGCTTCACCACTTTTAGATTCCGATCCTTTGGAAAAAGTAAAATCCCTCATACAGGATCTTTTTGCACTTTTACTAACAATCCCCTCAGTACCCCCTACACCATAAACAAAACAAAAATAAGATTTAAAAAATTGACATTTTCTTGCTGAAAGGCAATATATTTTTCTGGTCACAATACAATTCCTCCTCATCAGAGGTATTGGAAGTAAAAGCTCAATAAATCAATTAAGTGCTGAAAACTAAAGTTTACTGAACACTGCAGTCAATAAAAATGTTCAGTGATCTAATAAAAATAACATAGTTCTCTAATGCCCAGGAGATATTTTTAAAAATATTTTAACCTTAAGTTATGGGGCAGTAAAGCAACCTAAGGCTGAAAAAAAAGATAATTTCTTTTTGAAGAAACATTTAAAGAAAAGATATGTTCAGAAATACAATTGTCAATTTGTGTTAAACATAGACACAGAAATCTCTTAAAATGAAGCAACTTCACCACCAGAGCTAAAGGTCAAGGTTATGCTGCAGTGATAAGCATGGTATAAGAAGAAAAGCTAACAAAAGGATTTGTGTATTGCAATGCAGAACTGAGACACAAATTCACGTTCATGGAGAAGCTTGCCTTTCCCCCCCTCCTCCTTTTATGGCATTGAATACCAGCATGTGGTCCTCCATTAGAGCTCCAGAGCCAAACAAAATGTTACTTTGCATTCCTTTAAAGCTGCTGCTATTACCAATTGTCATTTTACTGTGTGCCTTCAGTTCTTTATTAAAGGAAAATCTCCATCCTTGAGACACGAGTCTTGATAAGGAAATAAAGACGTTAAACAAAGCCACCCAGTGGAAATAGTATTTTAGCAATTCCAAATTCTGTACGCTACACATCTGATTCAGAGGACAGCTCTGTGACTAGAGCTGATCTTGCAAACGGTCCTTTAGCTATTTACCTGAAGGTGAATCCGACTGCTCATCGGACACCTTTAATGGTGTCAAAACAACACGAGGAACAGTCTTGTTTACCATCATTGAGACTCCATTTCTTCTTTTCTGCTGTTGTCTCAAAGCCTACAAAAATGATAACAAAACATAAAACTGTAGCAAAAAATAATGCTTATAAGTGAATTACACACATTTCTCTACCCTTAAACTGAATCCCTTAAAATAAGCATAATTTACACAGCTACTGACTTGCCAGACTTCACACTCGTCCTCTTTATGTCATTTTCTTTTAAAATACAAAATCAGCCTTTTTCTCCTTTTTTTTTATAGAGAAAGAAGATGCACCTTAGATCATTTTCCAATCCAGTTTTGACAACAAAGAAGCACGTAACTGTCTGCTCTACCTTAACAGCACAACATGATAACCCATGAAATGTGAAACTAAGACTTCCAAAAAAAAAAGTAAATCCAAAATGTTTCAAAACCAGAATAAAAATATATATGTCTGCACATCTCTCGCAGGTGCATCCTCTCCAGTATACTGCTCAGTCAATCAAGTTAACACAGAGTGTCATCAGTATGTACAGCATGTAAGGACTACAGTATTGATGCACTCACTCAGCCGTGAGTAGTGCTGCACAAAATCACTGAACATGGCAGGAATCATTTATTTTCGTGAAGGGAATCAGTCCTAATCTTGGAAACCTTGCAGCATTTGGCTTCTGTCTGTTTGACTTTGGGCATTAACCTTCAGAACACGAACATGATGGTGTTCTGGCAAATCTGGGGGAAAATGATACACGAATAAATCTCTACAAATGGTAGTGCTTTGTGTTTCATAAATGTATTGAATACAGGGCTGATAATGTAATATAAAATATCTACAGATTAGAAAGAGCAAATACCCATCAGACTGTTTCATATGGAAGATGATATCTCATTCAAAAGGTCTTAAAACATAAAAATATGAATACCTGCCAATTAATACATCTGCAAGCATTAAAATTCTGGAATTAATCAGAATGGGCTGGGCTTAATACAGATCTCTCCTAGCCTCCTGTCTATTTTTCTCCATTCTTACTGTGCACTCTATTTTTACAACTGTGATTTGTGTTCTGAACTTGGGGGATTTATTAAAGTAATACCGTATCAACAAGGAACATATTTGATATGAATTATCCCTATAGGTTTATGAGCATGAATGACTGATGCTCTATAAGGTTTAAGTCTGTAACTTTAATGGATTGTAATACCTTTCCAAATTGTTCACACAGCTAAATAATAGGGAAAAAAACCTCTGAGAAGAAAGAAATCAATATTGGTCTATTCCTCTAAATAACACTCTACACAGTGTAAAATACACCAGGCCACATAGAAGCTATTTCATGGATTAACCCATTTTATTGTACTTTTGAAAAAAACACGTAAGCACTGTGCAATAAAAAGCAAATTAGAACAATTGAAATCAAACAAAGAGAGGAAGCTGGTCAGATCTGCACTGAACCAAAGAAACAGCAGAAAGCCATAAAGAACAGCCGATACTTCAAACATTTTTGAGACAAATTTCATACTGGTATCGAGCAAGCACAGCCAGACTTGTGGACAGAAAATTCCAAAGTGTTAACATTTGTCAAAAATTCCTCAAAATTCCAAAAATGACCCTGCAAAACTAAGTGTCAATTCAGGTGATCCTTAATTAACAGCAATACCATGGAGACAGTGGGAAACAGTTCATTAAAAATTAACAGAAAGACTGGCAATGTCTGCATCACCAATACACCAATATAACCACAACTTCATATCATGGTGCCCCACAGTCTGATTTGCCTCACGTCATCTTCATTTCCTACACCCAAGGCAAATGGTTAGAGCCCAAACAATGTTCCTTGTTGTCCTCCTGCCTCCTCCTGACTTTCCAAGACAATTTCCACCTCTCACGAAGGTTTCATAGCCTTGTGGCCGGCATCCATACAGAAACACCATTTTAATGATTTATGCAGCCACTGTGGCAAAGACAGATTCTTTGTCAAGCCTTGCAGTTGATTTTCAATGTTTAGACTGAACTCCCATGAGGGAGAGAAAGAAGCCAGCAGTGTATCCACCACCAGTGACAGGCACGCAGTGTTTTTACACCTCAGGTGACACAAGCGCTGCTGGAGCGAGGGCAGCGGTCCCCAGTATTTGTCAGAAGCACCACTTACCTTATTTTCTGTTACTGGCAGGACCCCTGTGGTCCTTAAGCACATATTTATGCAACTGATCTGGCATTTGCCAGATGCCAGGAGCACAGGCCAACTCATGCCCATGGAGCACTAACGCAAGACACTCCCTGGACAGTCAGATGAGGAAATACAGCTGGGAGCAGACAAAGCCACCGGAACTATTAACTTTGAGGCATAGCACACTCCTGGAGCTACAGCCTAAGCAACTCTATACACGAGGGTCAAACAAAAACCTTAAAGACATCATTTCCCTTTGACAAACATTTGTTTTTCAGGGTTTCTTTTACCCTAACATACATTGATTCACTGCCAGCCTCTTCCCCAGCTCCTCCAGTTTCCCAGAGCAAGGAACTGATCACTAAAAAAGGCCCAAGTTAAATCTGAAAATCAAGCTGATAGTAGAGCTACACACACTGAAGAACAGGCTGTAGAACAAAAAAAAAAAAAAAAAAAAAAAAAAAGAAAACAAACCCCAAAACCCAACCCCGCACAATACGGATGTTAAATCTAAGTAAAACTTTTAACACAAAATTAACGAATTACCAGTGAATTACCCTGTGTACAGAGAATAGACACATAACCTTCCCTACAACTCTCTGTTTTTTCATTCATCAAATGAAAGATATAAGACAGGGGAAGAGGGTACAAAGGTAACAAGTAAATAATCAAACATATGATTTGCAGGCTAAAGAGATGGCTGAGATTCTGAGCAGAATCTCTTGCTGTGATATGCCTAGCTAATCACAACAATTTTGTGTTAATTTCTCCTCTGAATTTGAAGCTGCAGGATCTCAAATTTTTGGACAGACAAGTCTTTGCAAGACAACCCAGCAGCAGGTGAAACTGCTGACTGACACCCAGTTACAAGAAAAGCCAAACACCAGAAGGAGTTAAGTATAAAAGACGGACAATCTCTGTAGTCTCCACTGAGGACAAATATATAACTTCTCTATACCTAGCCTGAGGGACATTCATTTTAGAATACAAGACTACTGCAGGATAAGACAAGAATCTTGTAACCCAAGATTAATTCTACTTAGCTGGGAAGTCAATGAGATTACTCCAAGTGAAACATGCACCAAATGCCTGCTATACTGAGCTTTAAGTGCTCCAAGCTAATTTAGTGCTTTCCTAGTCACCATGACCAAATAAATCAAATTTGTAACTAGCACTGAAGAAAATGAGAAATGTTGTAACTTATTCCACGGAAAAATGGTTCCAGATATCACTGTAGATACAGAAACAGTTACTAACACATAATATGTTGTCATCTTTCACAGACACAACCTTTTCTATCTCATCCATATTTAGAGATATATAACCTCCTAGCTGGACTTCCTACAGAACTGCAAGAAACAGATTATGATTTCACCAAATGGTAAGGTGTCATTTTCACTATGGTAAATTAGAAAAAACCACATGTAGTGCATATAATAGCTTAAATAAAGCATATTTTTCTTTAATGAGATGCTATGTTTACATTTCAAATGCATTCAATCACTTCATGCTAAATGCTTGAGTTTAAAAAGCTGCACGTTTTAAATACCTAGAACTGATCACTGTTGAAGTATTCTATAAGGCATTACTACCATCCTATTTGTACAACAAATAAATAAAAAACTGAAAGGAAATGAAAGTTCATGTAATATACAAGTTAAAACATTACAAGCTCTCTTAGAATTACCACCAAAATATAATACTTACATCCAGCCTTTCACAAGCAGATTTGCAAAGGACATCTGTGAACCTCTAGCACATAATGAGTATGGAGAATTCCCAGTATCCCCATTCATAAAAATGAACCTGTGACCATCTGTTGAATAACACTGCCATGGTCATTATACAGTGCTTGGCATAATTATTTGGTTTAATGAAGTTATTTTTATTGCCAAAATCTTTAAGTAAACTATCAATCCATTTTCATCCAAAGAATTCAAAATAAAATAAAAATATGAAAATTAAGAAAACATAAACTCTGAAGATAGATGGCAAAAGAAAAACACCATGAAACTAGCAGTGAACTTCTAATTCCAAGTGGGTTGTTTTAAATAAAGAGGTGACAAGAGCAAGGTTCCTTCTGTTTTTCAGGGAGTTTCTATCCCTAGTGGAGTATAGCAGTATTTTGGAGGTTTCATGAATGCCATTATATGCTCTCAGAAATAGTAATTTCATCTTTAGTTGATCTTAACACAGGAAAGACTTCTTCACCTATGTGACACAGTGGTTGACTGTCTTCAGTGAAAACTCATAAAGTCATCTTTCAAGTAGGAATGAAAGGAAACAATATAAACTAAAACATAACTGGAGATGGGGGCAAAATACATCCCCAAAAGAGCACCAGAAGCAAAATGTCAGCCTCTGTGCTCTGATTTTACTGCTGCTCGGCAGGTTTTTTTGTTATTTTTCTTTACCACATCTTTGAAAATCCGAATGAAAAAATGGAGCACACAGAAAAACCATTAATGCAGAAAGCCACTTTCATTTGAGCTTAAATGCGTGACAAACTGAGAATGTTAAAAATTAAGTCATTATCAACAAAGACATGTAACACTTGGCTGCATTAAGCAACATCGTCCCAGATTTCTACTTGTTCCATAAATGTCAAGACTACATTCTGAAACTCATGTAATGAAACATAACCTTTGAAATTTCACACATTATGGATCAGAAATGTAAAGCTATGGAATTCCTCCATTCTGCCATGTGAAAACTCAAGCTATGATACACTGAGCGAAGTCTCTGGCACAAAATAAATAACAACTCTACATCATGGTTATGGATCCCAAATTGACAAAGATGAAACAGGTTTACGGTTTATCACTGATTCACTTAACATCAGCACAAAATTCAGTCTTTGTCTTCTCTCTCTCCCCTCATTGTGTTAGCAAAATTAAGAGCCTTTAATTCCCATGTCTCAGTTAAATCAAAATTTCTCAGTGGCAACCTGTTTCATGGACAGACAGAGCAACTAAACTACAACAGTAAGCACTACAAATCATGAACAGTAAACCCATTATTATTTCCTAGATGCTACCAATTCTTATATTAAACATAAACAAAGCACTCAGTTATAAGTATGCAACCATAAGATTAAAACACAATAAAGATGCCCTATGGAAACAACCAGAAAGCACAAAGTGCCATTTGCAAAGCAAATGAATTTACTTTCAACCATACTAGTACGCTACACATGTCAGTATGGTGCCAAGAGTACACAACTGGTCATCTGGAGATGAAGAGTAGTGTCAGAATCAACAGGATGGAAGTTTGGACACCTGGAATTTCTTTTCAAACAAATGCTAATATGTTCTCATATAAGTATCTCTTCTTGTCCCATGCCATCCTACTACGTTGTGATAGTTACATCCGTATTCAGAATAAAAATAATGTCTTGCTGCGTACTTGCTCATAGGTCTCAGCAGGGCACAGGGTCTTTCTGTAGGACTACAGTACACATTAACACTGAACATTTACCTGTGTACTAACCAACACTGAACTGAAGTGCTTGGATCTTTGTGGGGCAGAGACAAGGAGATTTGTCTGTTCACATGTGTGTCTGTACACCTAAAGCCAACTCTTCTTTCTACAGGAATACAATAATACAGTCACAGCTACTGTACACCTAAAGCCAACTCTTCTTTCTACAGGAATACAATAATACAGTCACAGCTACAGTTGCTGCAGATCATGACAGACTGCCAAGTAAATGTTTTTGGTGCTTTCCAACCACAGAAAAAAAGGACAAAAAACCCCATATGATGTGTTCAATGTCTGTTTTGACTTGCATGTGAATGGGAATGATGATATCATATGCATCAACACAGTAAAAGCTTTTTAACAAAGAGAAGAATTGGAGTTTTTTTTATGGTTTGTGTAGTATTAAATTAACAACATCCATCAGTTGAAAAGTGTTTTATGGGGAAATGGGTTCTTTAGCACAACAAAGCACATATAGGTAAGGCAACAGTTTGTAGAAAGCAGTTTAAAAACAAATTAAAATAAAGATAGCAATGTCAATACAAAATCTTAAAACAGTAATCAACACTTTCCAAGAGGTCAGATTTTCAAACATTCTTTGCACAGGGGCCAGAGCATACAGCAGAGGCTTCATGGCTAGACTTCGCAGATAAAAAAAAAATCCTCTCATATTACTACTCTGAGAATTAACAGTGCACCAATGTAAGCGTGATGTTTTTCTGCCTGACATCCTCTTTCAGCCTGGGTATTCCTGCTTGCCCACACATCCTGAGCACACAGCCTTCTGGGAACCTACTCAACATCTCCTGGAACACCATTTGCAGATAACTGCTTGTCAACATTTTGTAGGAGGTTTCCTAGAGCTCTGAAGAGTTGTGAGCTGTTCCAAATCCTGCCTTTCCCTGAAAAGATCAATACTTTCTAGGATGCACTTCAAAATCAAGGCATGATTCATTGTCACCTGGATATCATTTCATGTTACAAACTATTTAAATCAAAAGCTGTTCTTTTCACATGGCCCAAAAGAAGATATTCACTTAGATATTCACTGCCATTATAAGGAAAAATCATGTAACTCCACCGGAAAGCTTAACTGGGACTCCAGTCTCTAGTGATTTCATTTTCATTAATACAACAGCAATGACCAATCCATCTGAAATAGTTCCCCCAGCTATTTAAGGGACAGACTACTTACAGAAACACATTAACAGATAAATGCAATGTTTAGGACTAGGCTGCTATCTTCAGCTTGACTACCTGAGCCTTGGAAAAAGCCACTGTATCTACAGAACAGAAGAGAACATGTTCAACCTATATTTGGGAAGAAGATTTCACTATGTCACAGTGGCAGGTTTAAACAAAGGTAAAGCTCATGCTAGGACATATTTTAAATGAGGGATACTGCTCTACACTGAGGTAGAGGGGCAACTACGCTTCAACACATAAAATTGCTTTAAAATTCTTTAGTTATTTCTCAGACTAAGAAGTTCTCTAAAATACATTTATTAAAACAGAAAAGGTGCAGGAGCACTGTAAAAAGCATGCTGTGCAAACAACCCCAGAGGAGAAACAAGCCGAATGCTCCAGCAACTGGGAGACAGTCATTACAAAAGTGGTAAAAAGCAGGGATTGTGGGGATTTCTGTCCCTTTCTTTCCATCACAGGTAAGGGCTGAGGACACAGGGATCACCCAGAAGAGAATCTCATAAACATTGTCCTGGGTCTTACCAAAGCACTGTGTTGAGCAGCTGGTGCATGCTGCCCATGCATAGGGACCTTTAGAGGGGACATACCGTGCAGCCAGCCTTCGAGCAATGCATGTACTCCCTGAACAGCTTCTGCTGGAACTCTTGCTCTCCCAGCTTCTTTTCCCCATTATGCAGTCTCCCTGCCATAGTTTCTCTGTCCTCTTCCCTAGACTTGTCTCAGCAATCAGAAAATCAGTTTATTTTATCATCTTCGAACTTCCATTTTCCGGAACGCATTTTGTAAACTCCAGTGTCCCTTCCCATGTCTTTCTAGAAGTCAAAAAGCAACATGTTTTCCTTCTTTTCCATTTGTTGTCAGGAAAATTTGTCAAGAATCATCACTTATGTTGGCAGACATCTGATCAAATGCTTCAGCTAGGGAGCCAGAATTCTCCAACTGTGGCACTGGTACATTTGTTGCATCTGAAATGAAACATAAGAAGGTGGTTAAGTGAGACACTGAGCAACTGCAGCAAACTCTCTATAATGAGGAATTCAGTACAAAAAATACCTCTCAGTTCACAGTGGATTTTCAGAGCCTTTCAGGAAGACACCCTGCACTTAAATTCTATGTGATTAGGACAAAATCATAGTGATCTCCTCTGTCACCTTTGCTTCTTTGGAGTGAGGAAGGGAAAGCAGGGCAGGCAAAATATCAGGCTTATATTAGAGCACATGAGGGAGCAGTTGCTCAAATGAGTCAAAGGAAAGACACCACAGATAGACTCATACTGGATTACTTCCTGTGGACAGCAAAATGCTTCAAGATAACCTGCATCTGGCTGTAGTCAAGGAAAGAAGTCTTAACAGAATGAGTGTGAAGGGTGAGTTTGCTCTTCTCTCAAAGAATGGTAAGCAGTGTGAACTGAAGACAGGAAAGCAAATTCACACCAGCATCATGTGAGATCAGGATTCTGCCTTCAGTGCCAGCCTAGGTATTGGGACATCTATGTCCAAATGTCAAAAAAAAAAAACAAACAACAAAACAAAAAAAAAACCCAAAACAAACAAAGAGATCTTGATAAACTACTTACATGAATTTGAATAAATCAGGGCTAAATTACAGTGTTAACCATCCTGAAATTTAGTCTCTTGTAGGTTGGTTTCTAAATAAGAATTACAGTTGTGGTAGAAATGTCAGCTTGAAATATTATTTGGAGCTGGACAGATCTAATGTCCTACAATTCAGAAGCAATACATGAGCTAAACCCTAATTTCCCCATAGCTCTATTACTGCTTGGGGCGTGACAGCATCCACTAGAAAAAAAAAAAGGGGGTGGAGTTGCCATTTCTATTATAAGAACAAATCCTAAAATGGGTGCCTTCCTTCTCATTAAAAAACTGCATCTACCCACTTTATGAATTATATAGTGGCACATATAATTAACCCAGCCACCAAGCATGCAGACAAAGCCCAAAGTTAAGGAAAACAAAACAAACCATGGCAGTGACATACCTTGTGTTGATTCCCTTATTTCCTGAGCTTCTCTCCTCCCAAACCCACTTGGCTGCTGTCTCTGGAGTTTCTGTCTCTACAAGAGAGCTGGATGCCCAGCACAGTCTCAGACATGTCCTGGTTCTGTATTCAGATTCTGAGTCTGAATGGAGTATCCTTCTCTTCTCCCAACAGAAAATTTATGGGTACCCTTCTTGGTGCTGATTCCAAAGTGCCAAAAGGGAGGCAGGATTTTCTTCCATGTCTGGGAGGTCTACTATCATCCCAGACACCATTAGAGCGCATCTTCAAGTTCTTTCTCCTCTCTTGGTACTGACCCAGGGAACACCTGGTGCACTGACGAGCAAGGTGCTCTTACACTTGGCTATCAGAGTCCAACATAGACTAACACCACCTCAGTGTCCTGGATACTCACACATTCTCAGTGTTACCTATGTGAGGCCAGTTTGCAGGTATGATTGTTTCTTCTGAGAACTGTTCCAAGAACATCTTGTTAGATACAGATAAATCTGTATACAGCGAAGACTTCCACAAAAAAGTATCACCTCAAGTCAATGGAACAGAAACTGGACCAGAGAGAAGCATGTAGATACTATGCCATGATTTGATGTCCATTCTGGAGTTAGCCTCGTCCAGAGCAAGAATAATGCACACAGTAGTGTGACCATGTACCACTGCTAGCAGATGCAGGTGTAGTTCAGTACTTTCCCAGGAAGAGGTCCTTACATGGGTCTGCATGCCAAAACTCTCTTGAGTGTGAAAATGAGGTAAATCAGTATGGAACTGATCAGTACTGATAGGAAATCAGCATGTGATAGCATGCCATAAGCCTTCTTTTCAAAGGTACAAGATCAGCAACAGCTGGGCACACATGCCCAAGCACTTCCAACAGCGCAAGGAAAACAGAAATCCATAAAATCTGCCATCAGAAAGCTAAGCATAAAAGGCAGCTCTACACCATAGGCTCTTTGGTCTATACCCTCATGAACAGGAACTGATTTGTGGGACATTACACACAGAGCAAAGTGTAAAGCATTTTACAAGAGAAAACTGAAACTCTGTTAGAAACCAAAGGGAAGCATGAAACACACTCAGTGGTAAAACACTCAAAATCTCTTTCCCAACATGGAAGGTGGTGAAGCTAAAAAGTTTCCAGACCAAAATGGCAGCCCAGCCTTTGAAAGGTGAGGACATAAGGGCTGATCCGTGACACAGAGCTTATGAAAATCCACTGCAATTGCAAACCTCCTTAGTCCCTGCAAAACATCCCAAATCCACTGCTACCTGAGAGAAATCAAAACCAAGAGCCAGGACTCAAAAAAAGCCCTTTCTTCCATACTCCTTGCAGAGCTCAAGAAAGGCAGCATTGTGATTAATTTCATTCATGAGAACATCCTGAAATGCAGGCTTTTGCAAGCCAAACATGAGATTGCTCTTTGCAATCTAAGCCCAGGAATATATCTCCAGAATTCAATAAAAAAGCAAATCATATGTAAATCCAGCACATAATAATTTAAAGAGAATTACATATGAGTAGTTAATAAGTAGATAAACTGTAGAGAAAATCTTCTATTTCCAGCTAAGATCTTCAAACAGAACTACACATTGTCAACTTCCCTCTCACTTTATTTTTAGAGGTTACAAAATAAATACACACAAGATCAAAGTAATGTGAAGAACACACTGGTTTTAAATAAATTGAGCAGGAAACTGAAAACTATCTTGTAGGTTTTCATTCTTTGAAGACTGTTTTGCAGTAGATAAAAAGCAAAAGCTATGGAAGACCCCCATTACAGTATATTATATACAGTATACATACATTTATATATTATAAGCACTTGCTGAGAATATGATAATGGCTCATGCTCTGCTACTTTAGCAGGAAATCAGTACGTTTGTATCAGTTGTAAGAGTGTTGCATAGTGTAGTGGGTCTAAAAGTTTCTTCTGCATTCAAAGGTCTGACAGGTTCTTTGTATGAATTTTAGGTACTATGCATCCATAAGGGCAATTGAAAGATTGGAAAACAAAAGAATAAATTTTCAACAGCAATTTTATAAATAAAATCACTGTTAAGGTTTATTCACCTCTACTACAATACCAAATCAAACCTGCAATGTGTATATATGGTAGTAGCCAACACCTGAAACTTTAAGAGAAAACAAAGCAAAAAACTACTATTCCACTATACAAATGCCCATTTGTCTCACATTGTGCATAGAGAAAATATTTTGGTGATAGCTGTACTGCTACTGTCATACTCTGAAGTACAGGATCTAATTACCATCAACTTAATTAAAACTAATTTCTTTTTATTGATTACTTAACTTTCGGATGTTGCTTTAACCCTACTGCCTTAGGGAATGTTTTCAAAGATTCACATCAATGTTATGACTTTTTATATTAATTAAGCTATTCTGATTAATTTGCCCTTTTAAAATTATCCTCAATGCTACATATCTGCTAAGTGACAAATGGTAGAGTATAAACAATTACAGAAGTTCAAACTTTTGTGGCTTTGCTCTTTTTATTCCCTTTTCTCCCCTTTGCCTACTCCCTCCACCCCTACGAAGTTCACAGAACACAAAGCATCTGTATAGAAGAGTTTCCAAGAAGTGTAAATTTTTACAACTATCCTAATGGTTAGTGAACTGTTTTGTGCCCACTGTTCAATTTTCCTCAACAAGCACATGTAAGACCTCAATCCAAAAATCCTTTTCAGTCTTCAAAGCCTCTAAATACATCATAACCTTATGTGAATGATAAACATCTATTAATTTTATTGGATTTAAACTCAGCCTGCATGAAAACCTAAAGAGTTTAGAAATGTGCACAGGCCTTGCTTAACTTAAGCCTAATCAAAGCACTCAGTAATAAACTACCCCATGAAATACAAGATCTCCATTAATCCTAACTAGTTGTGAGAAAAATTACATCATCATCTCATTATTTTAACACTTTAGAAAAGTCACAATTCAAAATGGAGAAGAGGTAATGGTAGGGGTTTCTTGAATTCTAGTTTTTCAGTTTTTCTTTTTCATTTTTCTGGCAGTAATCTGAATTAATTTGGCAATGCTGGAAAATAATTTTCACATTATCATGCTTTCAGCTAATAGGTGACTTGGAATAATCAACTGCTTCTGCAAGCTTTAGTACTTAACATGGAACCTAAATCATCCAAATCATGGTTTTTTTTAATAAAAATAACCTGACCCCACTTTTATACCCTGTAGTAGCAAATACAGTATGAAAAAAAATATTTAACAGATCATAAAGAAAAACTGAACAAGTATACCTAGAGTCTTTCCTATCTGCAGCACTTCTTTCAAAATATTTTTTAAATTTATTTTTAACCTCATATAAAATTTTCAACACAAATGCTTACATAGGAAAAGCAGGGGTGTGCTAATATAAAGAATTCTGCTTACTTGAAATTGTCTTGACTTTAAGTGCTTATTGCACTTAAAACCCCTTTAAACTCACAAAAAATAGGAATGCATCCTCACTAAAAACATACCAAAACCCCCAACAAAACGTCACTAAACATAACACTAAAAATCTTTAGAAGAGTCTTTAAATTCTGCTGACATCCCTTTCACACAGGAATGACAGAGATGCTAAAGGGAAGCCAACTGATGATCAGTCAATACAAGCTTACCTGTTTAAGTGCTTTCTTTGTGTGCTGCTGGAAGGAAGATACTAGCTTGCTTTGCACCGGTGCATTAGTAAGGCTTGAATCACGATTGGAAGACATTTCCTCAGATGTCTGCTTTGGGCAAACTTTACAAAAAGAAATAAAAAATCAGAATACTGTTATGGGGGTTATCTTCCCTATTTCTCCAAGAGTCATACGGATGGAAAAATAAACCAACACAAGCAAATGCTTCAAAACCAAAAAGCTTGTGGTAGAAAATTCAGCTGATCTTGAGTCCACATCACCTAAAAATCCAGCCATATTCTAAGAAAATGCACTGCTTCACTAATATTTGTACCACATCATACCCCTTCTATGCAGTTCAGGAGGCCTTGCATATTTTGCCTTTCAGGTTCTGAAAGGTAACTGAAATATTTTAACAGATTTCACACAGAAGCTAGATAAAAACTACCTTCCTCATCAACACATTTTAATGGATTATAAGATATCTAAATGAGCATTTGTACAAGAGACACTGATGACCCCTGGATCTAGAAAGATTCACACATACGTAACTTCATACCAGATTGTAATGTCTTCTTAAGAGCCAGACTCACCTATTTTACAAGTACTTCTTGGTAAAGCTAAGAACACACTTTGCTGTTTAATGGGTAAACTGCAATAGAAGAATTCTGGTCTCTCAGGTAATACATGCTGCTATACTTGTCAGCCTTCTAAATAATACATGCTTTAATGAACATATACTACAGTACTTGCATTAAACAGCCTCTTGAATAAACGTTTTGTGCGACACAGAAAAAAGTCTCCCAGTTAAAAATAAATGAAAATATTATTTATTTTGCTTTTGTTTTTTTACAGCTTTATTAAACAGCTGTTTAAGCTGAAAGAAGAGCTGGAGGATCCTATTAGTCTTGGTGGTCAGCAAACTCAAACTGAAAGGGCTGTAGAAACTTTTCCACTCTTAATGCCTTGCAGTACTATTATCCTCACTGGTAACCTAAGACTGCCCAGGTAAACCAGCATTAGCATGGATCCAGAAATGAAGCAGCTTTTCTTCCATTCTCCTTTGCTGACTCAGTTCAAGTCTGCCTTCCAGCAGTGTTCAAAGCTGGTTTGTATGTTGACATACCTTCTGTTTTGAAGCAGTAAATAGTTTTCCAAGATTTGCCATACTTTGCACACCACCAGGATAGTCTGAAGACACTCAAAGAAGTTGCACAGACATGTGCCAGAAATAATGTAGCCCAGTGTTAATCTATTTTCTCTGCCCATCCTTCAGTGGGATGAGCAGACAACCAAAGTAGCTAAGTCCCATGCCTTTAGCAATGTTTCCTAGAAGAAACATTGTAATCTTCTTTGATTTGTGTTTATAAGCAAAAAAGACACATACAATTTAGCTATCAATAAGTAATAGCCATCATAAGATGCATGTGATATTAAACCTTTTTTTGCACTGAAAGAAAAAGTAATTAACACTTACCTCAATAAGAGAGAATACACTCCATGGCACTGCTGTTATGCCAAGATAACTGATATTACATTAATTTTTCATTACCAGGTAAGAGAAAGGCTATTTTGTCACAAGATTTATAACTGAGTTTTGTTTTGGTTTTTTTTTCATATACTTGCAGAATTTGTCAAAATACACAAAGAAGTTGCAACACAAAACAGGTGCTGAGTTTACAGAATCACCTGGATCAATCTTTTCCACACGATGAGCAAAGCTTACTATCAAATAAGACAATGTAAAAGAGCTGCAAAGTGTCAGCAGAAAACAAACAATAGAAGGTTTATATAATTCAAATCACTGCTACAGCTAAGCTCCTGAGACAAAGAACACCTACATCAAAATAAAAACTTGACATTTCAAATTTCCCAGATTTTGTCTTCTCCTTCAAAGAAACTCTTTTTTTACTGTGTTCTGGCAAATTTTGAGAGTCAAAGAATTGAAGAAAAAAACCCAGAAATAGCATGTGCACACAAACCCAAAGTTAACAAGAGGAGAAGAGTAGACATTCAAAAATCCCTAAAGAATGGAAACTGGTAAACTTAAATGCCCATCTTAAAAC